AATGGAGTTTTCCCGAAGCTGTCTCGGCTCTCGAAATAGTGGTCCCCCAGAAATCTGAGGCCTTTTTTCCGGAGTGTGGGCACAGCTTTTCCGCCATGTCAGTTGCTTATATCTCTGCCTAGAAAACGCTGCACGGATCTAAGACTCTTGGGGGCTCCTTCAAGAAAGATAATGTCGGAGAGAAGACGCCAGATCCTGTCCCCATATCTATTCTGGAGCTATCCGTGACAATGGGTATTTCGTCATCGTATGGAGCAATTTTAAGCTTAAATCGGGGAAATGAATATCGGAGCTGCTGTTGAAATCAGTTTCCGTGACCTGGTAACCACAGCTACTGTACACAATCGCCGCTCTGTCGACGATTGTGGCGTCACCTTGCAAGTTGTTCGCAGTCTGCCAGAGCCCCGAGTCGTAGAGCGCTTTTAGCTGCGCCACTTTTAACGTATATATCTATAGGTGGAATGTCCAGGAGTGTCTCTAGCACCTCCTGGGGCATTGTGTAATTTGCTCCCGTTGGGTATAGGCATGCTTTTCGTTGCACCTTATGCATGTTGAGTAGATAGGTTTTGGTAGCAATCAGCTCCAACTATAACAACGCGTCATAGTTGAGAATAGCTCTAACTACCGCGATATAAACCCAGTATTTTGCGGTGGTAGCCCCCAGTCATTTTTATTGGTTTTATATAACCTTTGAAACCCAGCTCTTTGAACGAGTTGAAAAAGTTTGAGTTTTAAACTTCCCTGCTGGAAATGAACATCTAGACAGGGTCCAGACAGTTTTCCTATTATCTAAAATGATTCGAAATGGGAGCTGGAGAGCACCAGATGGACAGGTAACGCCACGAAATCTTTCTGTAAATTTCCCAGGCTTTGGAGTTGTTGAGAGTACTTCCCAGTTTCCTATAGAAATTCTGCTATTCTTGAAAAAAACCTTTCCCTAAATTCCAGAGTTTTTTCGTACAATGTCGAGAAATCTACATTAGGAATTTCCACCTTAGAGCCAATTCAGGTGGAGGAAAAGAGCTTTATCAATAGTTGAGCTTTATCAGGAGACCGCTCATAATAGTAACCGCATAGGTTAGTTATCCTAGAAATTATCTTGGTTTTGTCATAGAAATTTCATGAAGGCGGTATTGCTAGTACCAGCATAGGTTAACCGCATCTTAAGAGCTTATGGAAGGTGAAATTTTAGTTAAGTTTTCTGAAACTGGCCCGACTACGGCGGCGTCCTCCGAAGGAAGATGCACGTTGGGCACGTTGTGCGCTTCTTAAAAGCTGGAACTTAGAAACTATCTATTAAGACTAACTGGGGTAAAATGGAGAAAAAACTAAGTTTGGCAGACATGTAAGGCAGATAAAGGGGGCCGGGATTAACGGGAAAATCCAGGCTGCACGTGTTGCAGGACCTCTAAAAGTGACGCAGAGAAAGATTCTATTACCCTCTCCCTTATAGATCCTCTCTTTTGAGTAGTAGAGAACTCGTTACATGGATGATGTTTTTATAGAAACACTAAAAGCCTGATTACGGCAACTTAACTTAACTTAACGGAACGTAGAATTTAGAGGATCAAAATGAAACAGGTTTCGACATTGCATTAAGTTACGTTAAGTTTCGGCTGTCCAATTATAAGCAACACCCATTTAAAAGAATTTTTAGGAGAGAGCCGTACCTTACATTAAGTTGCCATAATCAGACTATAAGTCAGGTGGCGACCACCACATAACGTGAAATGCGGATGTAACCCATCTGAAACATTTGATGATTAATTATAAACCGATGAAGTATTAAACAGCTTTCTCGCTTTATTTTCTTGACATGCGGCTCTCTTGTAGAAATTTCTAAAGGCAAATTTTCAAATAAGATAGTGACGAATTTCTTCTTCTCGATCCTATTACTTCACATGATCTTAGCATTATTCTGTATGTCATTAGCATTAGCAATGAGTTTACTAAAAATTAAATTCAAGAATTTGTTGTTTTTTTTTCTTTTTAAAACAGTAAAAACTAAAATATAAAAGAAATAAAAATACAAAAACCAAAAATAGATTAACAAAAAAAAACAAAATGATTCTAAAAATTAAATTAAATTAATAAAAAAAAATATTTTTCTTCTTTAAAAACAAAAAATCATCAAAAATTAAAAGAAAATTAAATAAAAAAGTTCATTTAAAACGAAATAAGTTTTTAAAAATTAAAAAAATATAAATTTTTTTCTTTTTGAAACAATTAAATCTGAAAATTATGTTAAAAAAGAAAAAAAAAGTTGCTAAAAATAAATATAATGAAATTAAAAGTTATGTCTTTTTCTTTTTAAAACAAAAAAATCTAAAAATTGAATTAATTGCTTTGCTCGCTCGGCCATTGCGACTGCTGGAGCAAGTGCTTTCAGTCAAAAAAGCTTTTCACTATGAAGGTTGGGAGGAGAGCTAATTTGTAAGAAAATCTTTCGAACTATCTTACTTACTGCCTTTCAATTGGCTTATCTTAACCAGACTTGCCCAGCAAGTAATCTTAAGAAACATTTCTTTTTGATTTCCTAACATTCTGAAAGAGCCGGTTGTTCTCGAGAAGCCAAGTTTTTGGATGACAAAGTCTTCTTAGAAGTCGGGGTTCTATGAAAAACTGCCCAGCGGCTTTTCAAAGGAAAATAGGAAAAAGGAAAATGGGGGAAAAAGGATAAATTATGTACTAAGTACAACAATAAAGCAAACTTTGAATTTATATGTATATCCAGATTCATTCGCTAAGGTCACTTAAATAACTTTCTTATACCGCTTAATCTTAAACAAAGGAAATCACCACTAGAAATTGAGACATCCAAATGTCACCTTTATCATAAACTTTGATTGATTAAAAATAGCTCAAGATCGAAAAAGACAAAATCCAAACCAATACTGAATGTTGAGTCAGCGCTGATGTGGTGGGTGAAGTGTTGCCAATTCCCTTGAGACGTACGCAAGCAAGCGCAAGGAATCACTTGGTGGTGTCTCTAGCGTTGGCATCCACCTTCAAAGCGTTCGTTCACTTACAGGTGGCTGATAAATTTAAAAACCTCATTTATGAAGGCGTCGAAATTACATATTTACTACCGCTAAATGGACATACATACAACCAAACATACAATGGCTAAATATACACAACAACGAGCACACTTGTGATTTTGGTGTGTTTGATGCGCAGAAAGACGCGCAGCAAAAAAAAAAGAGTAGAATTAAAAAAAAAAATTAAATAAAATGCTAGAACATATACTAGTGGCTATGAGACTATAAATGATGCTGTGCATACGACTACACATGTACATAAAGACTATTCATTATACCACTTTCTACCAGGGGCGGACCCAGCAGCAATTCTTGGGCGGGGAGGAAATTTTTCAACACATATCGTGTATATATATAAATTTAAAAATCACCGCAATTTAAAATTTTTAGAGTTTTGATAGTTTTGAATTTCTTGAAGTTTCCCCGTTTTAAATAATTTGAATGGAATTCCAAAACTTTCAAAACTTTGTGAATTTGAGAAATTTTAGTAAATCACAATAATTCAATATAATGATGAATACTAGATTTCTAGATTTTTTTTATTTTTCAAAAATTTTGAGAATTGTAGGAATTCTAACAAATCTTTTCTAAGTAAAAGTGTCGAATATACAAAATTGATCAAGTTTTCGAATGTTGAAAATATTTTCATATTTCGTCGTTTTTGAAAGTTTAAAAAATTTTCATGATTCTTGAAGACTGAAAAAATTTTCAAAAAATTTAAAATTATCAAACTTTGTTATATCAATACAAAATTTTGGAAAAGTTCCGAAAAGTGAAAATATTTTGGAATTTTTTTAAAATGTTAATATCTTTTAGAATTCTAAGAATTTTATATTTTTTACACACAAGTACCATGAACATAAGAATTTTTCAACAATTTGTGATGTTTCACATTATTACATTCCAGGATGGATTTTAAATGTGTAAAATAATAGAAATTCGAAAATATACAAAAAAAAGTAAAAATTGAAAATTAAGTACATAATTCAAAATTTTGAAAATTCAGTGAAAATTTTCCCAATTTCCCCTACCTGAGTCCGCCACTGTTTCTACGTTGTGTATTTTTTAATTATTTCTTCTTGTTTTTGTGCGATTTTGTCGGCGGCTACTCCTCAGTTCTTTTAATACTCGTATGTAGCTCTGATTGTAGCTACGTGTGCCAAGGCGGATGATTCATACTTTGCCGCTGGCCACTACTATTGGCTATCCATTTCTTGACTATTTGCCAAATGTTGCTGTTTCTGTTTTTTGGGTGCAAACGACTTGTTGTTGTTGTTGTTGTTGTGCGGTTAGACGGTTCAGTGTTGCACGCAAATATATATACATTTACCCTATAAACAAAAGCGCGGTGAATGCAGAAATTGGGGAAAAAAAACACACATGCACACACACAAAATAAGATTTTTGACGACCTGTATAAGTTCATAGCTTTGCTGCAAAATTATGGTTTTATTTGCATATATATATTTTTTCTACCATTAACTTATTTTAGTAAGCACTTTTTCTTTATAACTTGCTAAAGAAATCAACCCATTCATGGTTTCGTCGTTTTTTTCCCCCCGCACACAAGCACAAATAATCTTAAATCATTTAGTTTTTCAAATCAGTTTCCCAGCTGCGGCTACTTTCAGATAAGTAGCGTAGCCTCATCTGCTTACGTTGATTCACATTTGTTTATTCCATCATTAAAATAAAGAAATAATTCCAGTCAGCAACCGTCACTTAGCCGTAGACGTCATTGCCCAACCATATGACCATTGGAAATTTCCTCAATTACGAATATTTTATTCTAAAAATAAGCATTTTGTTGGCGTTCTGATCTAAAATTAGTTGCTCTGATGATTGTTGATGAAAAATTAATCATTTTAATTAAAATGTATATGATCTTCCACTTCAAAGGTATTCTATTTATGGACGTTAATAATAAATTAAGCTTGCTGGAAGCTTATGAGCTATTAGGTACAATGTTGAGTAAAATCTGACCACATAGCAAACAATAAATTAATTTTGAACAAAGTTTTCTGCAGCAACTAACTCTTTTTGCAATGCAATAGCATCAATTGCAACGCCTTTTGAAATACGACCAAGCAAAGACAGGCAATTTTTCAGTACTTGGGTTGATTGTTTCACTGTCGCCTTACCATTTTGTTAAGGTTCCTAGTTATGATGGATACGCCATACATACACTTTCTCTTAAGGCATTTAATATCCTCTGATCTGCTCTTATCTTCATGTCATGTGCACTTTTCGTGCATCTGGTTTGCGCTCCTTATGGTGTACTTGGATGTCTCGAAAAGCACGTTTGTTCATGTTGAGCCAGGTTGTGCACTTTTCAAGCCTATAACCACCACAGTGAAGAGTGTGCCGAACGCCTATTTTGTCCTAATACTCATGAAGTAGCAATCAGTCATAATTATTATCGTATTGTTCCTTCTTGACTTTTGTTGTTGTTTTAACGAAATAAAAACTCCCGATCGTTCGTTAGGAATCAGCTGGAGTGACAGTTCTTGGCCAGATATAGATCTGGGTCGTTCCGATAACGCCTTCTTCACGCTCTAATTAATCAGTTACTTCATTCTTTCTCTTTCGAATTCACCAAGAAAAAATTCAGAGATTTTAGCAACAAAGGTAATAAAGATTAGTAATCCTATGCCAATAAACAAATGGACATCGGTAGAGAGTTTTTCCAAATCCCAGCTTTGTGCCAGAAAAAGAAACTAAATCTCTTGGCGGAATTCGCTACTACAATTATTATCTTTCTTGAAAGACATACGCGGACGATATCAATTGCAGGGTAAAGAAGGTAATCCTTATAAAAATCTAGATATGCACATATTTAATTTTTCAATAGAAGTATCACCAGAACACTTTATGGAAAGCTATTTTAACTTTCTGGAAGGAGACCATTTAAGAACTCACAATTGCTTTTCATTGGAAATTCTAGTTAAAATAAAAACTACATACTTCTGGAAGGGTCCAAGATTAAAGAGAAAAGTATTTTCATTGAAAACCAAAGCGCCGCAAATAAAGCTTTCTTAGCTTAGGCTCAATTTGGGCAATACTTAAAGATTAACTACTGCTTCCCACATCCTATGCTGTTTGCCTATATAAAGAAAGCTTCTAGCGTTCGTCAATCCAACAACAACATTCTATCAGGAGAGTCTGAGAGTATACAGCTCTTTCTTTGACATTGCCCTTCTCTGTATTCTAAGCTATCTGGAAAAGCAGTGCATTGAAACTGAGCTACATAAAAAACTATGGACCTGGAACCTGGAACAAGACAGTGTGAAATGTTCTGATTTTCTGTGGACTTCTGAGCTGTTACATGGGGTGTCCTGGACCACCCATTTATCCCTTCTAAAATGCAGGAAATATTGTTATTGGAAAGCGTAAAGAACATATTACCAAGTTGGGGGTTCTCTATCGTTTGGTCGTACTATCGACTCCCGGTTTCGAGCGGGAGTCCATTCCTTTAGATAGGATATATACACATGCTTTTACTATATATGCAAAAGTTACGTAGGACACCCGGTTTATAAATCAGACGTTTAGATTCCTTTTGTGTCTCCCGATTTTTTAACTTTGTGAACTGTATTGCTTAAATTGGCATCTTTGATGTTTTCGAAGCCACAGTTTGTGAGGATGTATTGTGTATTTTGAAACAGAATTTAGTTTCTGCTCCTTCCATATTTTGTATCCATAAAAAAATTCGTTTGTTACCTCTTCTGTGTCGTTTTTGTCGTTGTCAACGTTTTTCACCCCCAGTGATCGTCAGCGCGTTCATTCATGTCATCACCATCAACAGCACTCATTCATACATTCATTAATTTGTAAAATTACGAATTGTTTGCATTTTTGATCTATCACTTTCTCTTCACTCCCCCCACCTCCGTACATCTATTCCAATCCGCTCGTGCACCTGCACATTTAGGCATCTGGACACCTGGCACACAAACACCCAACAACACATCGCTCACCAACTTGAACGACATACATCCGAAGGTCAGCACGCCTACGCCCCCACCACCACCACGACCAGCACCAGCACCAGCACAACAACAAGCTGCACAACCCGTTTGGACGCCTCAGCCATCACCGAGTAGCGGTCGCAAAGAATTTCGTCCTGTACGTTTCGAATCACCAACACTGCCACGCCGTTACATTCTGCCCGAGCAGAGTACAAGCGGTACACCAGCCGTGCCGCCACCTTGGTGTCACAACAATAGCGGCGCAGCGACCACCGATGCGGACAGCTCCTATGCAGCACCTTCGCCACGTTCTGCCTACAGCTATACGAATCTCAGTACGCCAACCACAACGATCGGCTCGGCAGGCAGCACCAACTATTGTGACTCCATACCGTCTGAGTCGTCATTGCTCAATCACGTGGGCACAGGACGAAGTCAGAGTGTTGCGGATAAAATCAAAAGTATGGGTGGTTAAAAAATGTTGTTTTTTTTTGTTTTTTAATCAGTTAGATGTGCATACATACCTGTCATTTCTATGTTGTGTTCGTGGTAAATCTTTATTTTATTTAGTTCATTGAAAAATGCGAATTGCGCTTACAAACTCGTCACAGGCATAGAATCATTTTGTGTATTATTCATACTCGGTTGCATGTGCGAAAGTGTTAAGCGGCGACTTGTTGTGTAAAATAAATTTTAATGTTTTTTCTCTCTCAATTCATGTGGGTTGGGAATCGTCTCGTCTTGTCGTAAAGTGTACTCGTACAATTATTTGAAAATATTTGCGTTGTAACTAGTGTCAGGCGGATTTTAACAAATTTACCCATCTCTAACCACATTTTCTCACACCCTCTACAGCATTCGAGAGGTCTGCCTCCACATCGGCGTTATATTCGCCGGCAGCGCGTCGCCGAAACGATACTGGTCAGCCGTTTTATAAGCCCAATGAAGTCAGTAAGTATAGCCAAGAGGGCGGGTGCAATCGGTAATAACGTTCGCTCGCTCGCATATTAAGTACTAACGTTCACATTCACGACAACACTTACGCACTTATTTGTGGCCAAAATAAAGCCGAGTGTGTTTGAAAGGGTTAAGGGTTTATGGACTTTCTATGGGTTATGGTGCATTGCAGCACTTTTTCTTTAAGGAAGTTTTGCTCAAAAAAGTACTTATGCTTTATTATTTTTAATGCATGCTCCGAGCGGAAGTTTGTTTAGCTTATAAGTGATTTTTTTCCCAAGAAAGTCATTAAAAGCTATACCTCGATGGTACGAAAAATTAAAGAAGAGCGTGTATGTTGTGTTTGCATGTGTCTATCTACTTTTTTATTTTTATTTTTTATTTTATTTTAATGCCTTTCATGTATGTATTTAAACTCTCGGTGTTGTAAAGTAATGTTAGTTGTCCTCTTGTGATAACTTAATTCTTTAATTCCTAAGTTTTACTTAAATAAAAAAAATAAATAAACAATATTTGTAACAACACCACTACAATATAAAAAAACCCTTACTCTATAATACCGATTTACAGTTTTTAAAGTTAAACATGAGTACATGAGTGAACCGGAAACGGAGCACGATCGTCCCAGAAAAATGGCGCAATTGGGTCGACGGCAAGTCGACGGCATCGGACCGGTTACCAACGATGGAATGCCCATTATATTGAGATCGGTAAAAGCGCAATACAATCATTTACATATAATATAAAATATGAATAATTAACACATAAAAAAAAATCAATTCCAACACTTCACTTTCAAATTGACGCGCTACAGGAGGTGAAGGAACCGCATCAGCATGAATGGTATAAACGACTCTACCAGACGATACACAAGCAGAAAAGCGGTGGTAATGCAAAAAAAAACCAAACATTAATTACAATGCTTTTATTTATTTATGACATTCAGGAAATTAGTTGAAAGCTAGAAACTTACATAGGTATATGACAGATTCGTGTGTATGAGTGCTTTGAAGACTTTAGGTAAAGCGCTAATAGACATTTAGGGGATGCACACGACTTGTTAACCGTCGTTAAATCTTAAGCTTAACATTTCTTAATGTAAAATTGTGATTAAAATGGTTTCAGAGAATTTCTAACTACACCAAAATGATTTTAAAATGATAAAAAAAATGTATAAGTAGCACTCCTAAAACTATTTTAACCGTTATTTTGCATTAAAAAAAATATATTAAGCTTAAGATTTTACGACAGTTAACATGTCTTGGGAATCCTCTAATTGACACTTCCTAGCATTCGAGGCAATAAATCCAGAGTTCAATATCGCTAAATAAGATTTTCTGAAAATTTTAAATAAAATTTAAATCCATAAAGTAGAATGAATGCTAACAGCCAATTTGTATAGATTTACCTTAGCCACCCCCATATTATAGTTCATTGTTAAATATACACGAAAGGTATTCATCAAGTTTCAGCTTTGTAAATAGATGCATAAATAAAATCAAAGAGGTTTTTAAAATCCCAATTGGTACTTTTGTACCAAGGAAGCCACTGAAGGGTTAAATCGAAAAGAAAAAATAAAATCAGGGCTTGAACCACTCCTTGCCATAGGGATCAGGGAAAAGTACTGTGAAAAAAAACTATAAAAAGTATGCGGAAAAGAGAATAACACTGGCAAAGTGCCGCGTAAGATAATTGCAATTCAGTAAATTTGACTTAGCGACATTGAAATGTTATTGCCAATATTTCCGGTATATAAACGCATCTTTTTTGTACATAGTTTTATAATGCCACAAAATTGTAAATTTACATTTTTGCAAAACCAAACAAAAAGAATAATATCCATAAAAGGTCCTTATTAAAAAAAAACTGTATATATTTCTTTACTTCTAATTCTACTTTTAAACGCTCACTTTGAGAGTATGTCAGGAGTGTAAGAATTTTATTTTTCGACACGCTCTTAATACAACTAAATACATTTTTTTTTATAACAAGCTGTTTACATTCCGCTCTCTTAGTGCGTGTAGAAAATCACTTAGATCGAACTGAACTTTTTTCGGCCCGTCAACGTGGTCACCCGGTTTGGGGTATTTATTATTTTCGAAATTAATTTTAATTATTTTTTATGCAAGTTTATAACAAAAAGCATATGAATCCAAATTTCAAGTTTTGAATAATAAGAACATTTGTTTTTAATTTTTTGTTTTTTTTTTTTTGTAAAACGGTTGCGTTCTTTTTTATATGGAAGAATTTGCGCAACAACGTTAACAAAAAAAATATAAAAAATTAACGGGACACTTCACTTTATTATTTATATTTATTTCTAAAATAAAAAATAAAAAAATTTTGTTGTGCAACTTTGCTGATTTTTTTCTAATCTATGTACTAAGTTTGAGATTTAGATTTATAAAGTTTTTCGTTCTAAAATAAAATAATTAAAAATTTTTGTTGTGCGACTTGGTTGATTTTTTCTAATTTTTGTACAAGTTTGAAATTTGGATTTATAAAATTTTCGTTAGACATTGAGCTAAACTTTTATGAAAAATATAATTAAAATTAAATAAAAAATAAATAAATAGTACAAACCGGATATGTATAATAGAAAATTTGTCTAAGCTCTAAGTGACAAACAAGATGTTGTGCTGCCACCTAGCAATTTGGAGGTTTAATCGAGCGCAACTAATTTGCGTAAAAAAAATCTCGAGAAATGTTTATTTTTAAGATATTTTTCTTGTCATTTCCGCTTGCTTAACGGAAATTAAAGCTATTTACATACATATATGCAAACAAATTTATCGTAAAGCAATAGAGTGAAATTGCTCGTTAGCAGTAGCTGAAAAAGGTCAATTCAAATCAAAGAAATTTTAGAATTGGTTTCAAATAATTTGCAAAAACAAAATAGAAATACCAGAAGGGAATTAAATATTTCTACTTATTTGCTGCATTTCAATACACGCCCGCTGAGATCACTTTAAACAAATAAAAAATATTTAAGCAATAGTAGAATAGAATTTACTATATGTAAGATCTCTGAATTTTTCTTTGACCCATTTCAAATTTACTATGTACATTAGGGTGGTGGTCCAAAATTTCACAGGAAAATCAATTGGAAAACTCCTGCTGACAATCCCTTTAAAAATTAACTTTTTTTATTGTCTAAATATTTACCATCAGAAATCTTCAGCGGGCTACGCATACATAAAATAACACTTTTTTTTGTAAGAGATAAGATTATCGGTTATGAAAAGGTAGTAAAATTTTTATGTTTTAAAGCTCTCGATCAAAAAATATTTTTTTCTAACTATTTTATAAAAATTTTTGGGAAACTTGTATTTTCCCTATGCTGATAGCACAACGCCGAAATCGGTTTGTCTCCAAATCAAATTTGAAAAGGTATGACAGAAAAGCGTTCCACAATACATCATGTATGGAGAACCAGGCACGGAAAATAACCGTTCAAAATCATAATTTTTTTCGTTGAAGAATTAAAATTAAAAATAACGATAAAAAGTTTATCGAAAAATAAAAATTGTTCATTATTCTTCATCGAAAAAACAAAAATCATAAATAACTATTAAATTTGCTCAAAAAGATAGAAGTCCAATTTTTACGACTAAATTATGTTTTTTATTACAAAGATTATAACCGTTACGGTCCCTGAAATTAACTGATTTAAAAAATAAAATAAAAATATGCGTCTCCTTATTTACAAAATTCTTTAACTCTGAGGATTGGCTGGAAAGAAAGATTTTATGTCACCCTAATTTACACACATATATGCATATATGTATGTAGTTGGGTGTGCATACATATATGAATTTCTAATAAAGTTGTATCTACAAATGTACATAGTAAATATACATATATAGATAATTTTTTTTTTGCAATTCTTTTTCACAAAATTTTGTACACATTTATGATGCGATACGCTTTACGGCTTTAACAACGCTTTTACCCGTTCGTTTATACCATTCCGCGTTTAACGCCCGGCACCCCAACGCTGCTCCTCCGCCGCATCGCATCACAACTTGCATCTCACATCTGCAACGCGCCTCACTTCGCCTCGCCACACCTCTACATTGTTCACAGATGATTACGTGATTCGCTACAAATGTCAAAGAGGTGATTTTTTTACGTTTACTTTATAGCAAATCAACACAAACAGAAAAATAGAAAATACATATGTAGTTAAATGGAAATATGTATGTTTGCAGTATGTAGTTGTAGTAATTGCAAATGCGCTCATTATAAATGCTTCGGTAGATATTCATAAGCCATACTTTTATGTACGATTACCTCCACCTATAGCGCGTGCCTCGGAATGCTTGCGAAGCTTTAGTAGTACTCATAGAATGCCAGAATTTTTCGCTATGCCTTATTTCAAATACTTACATTCCAATGACACTTTATGTAAATGAAAGCCAAGTTGTGATGGCTATCTAATGTTTAACAAACTCTTATCTGATTTACCTATCCTATTCTCTTGAAAAACAAAAATATAAAAGGTCGTATGCATGAACCCTTTGTAGTAAATGGAATGAATGTTATATTTAAAAAATAGAAAACAAAACACTCCTCAAACACTGAAAATATTCACTTCTGCAAACAATTCACTAATACAACTAAATTTATTATATAAGTAACTAGTATATACAAGACATACATAGATACATAGGTATAAGCTACACTGGGCTACAACACTGGACACTGGATTTTTACAGACTATTTACGCCGCCTAATGCACTTTTACATAGTTTCAAAATACTAAAAACCACAAAGAAAAATAGCAAATAATAACAAACATTAAATAATAAATATTAGTAAACACAATTACATCACATACTTATATCTATTAATTCACCTTTGACACAGCTCGTCCACAATTGAAATCAACCGGATATCAATCAGAGCCCGAGCCCAATTACGATTCCGACTACTCTACAGTAAAGTATCGAACATTAGATCGACGACGTTTACAATCGGTCTCATCGGCCACGAACGTTGCGAATCGCAGTACGAATTCGTATCAGGACGATAAGTGAGTACTGTGATTTACATAATTATGTTTGTGTGTGTGTGTGTGATAAATACAAGAAAGTATGCAGATTAAGATAAGATTAGATCATGATTTACAGGTATGCGAAGATTACCTATGTAGTTACCACCCAGGATGGTAAACAAATAAGCTTTAAGGCATTTTTTCTCGGTTTTGAATTTTTTGTTATGCAAAATTGGTACAATGTATTTTATTGAAAGTGTTACCCATAGCTAACAACGATTTTTTTGCACTTTGCTGGGAATTCATGGCTTCCGCGCCAGTAAAACTCCTCGTCTTTGGAGACCAAGAAAGTATCATGTAAATTTTTTATACCCTCAACTTAAATGCAAGGTACTGCCGTAGGGGCGTTCTGCATAGACAAGAATAAATAGTAGTCTGATGGTGTAAGTTCAAGGCTATAACAGAGAGTCGATCGAGATAAGTTTTGCCGCACGCAACCGAACATTTACATTCCGGTAGTACTAAGTTCAATCGCATTAGTTGTTGTCTATTGAGAGCTCCGTCAATCGTCTGATCACTTTTCAGGCATATTTATTTTCATGCAAAGAGGTTTCAATAAGAAAACTATCTCTGATATGGATTTTAGTAGAAAGGACGTTAAACTGATGGGCCGGTATCATGATTCAATAATACAAGGTTCGATAAACTGACAGTTGTCTCTCTCGCACCGCTCCCTTAGCAGTGGCACCGTGTTGCTTCTTTGAAAATTTACATGGAAACGGTGTAGCTTTGGTGTGAAATAGAAGTATGTATAAGCTTTTGTGCAATATGTTTATTTGTATGTGCATATGAAGCATATTTAACTGATGAAAACATAAGCATTGGATGTTTACATCAATCTCATAGTAGTCTTATTTTAATTTTGAGTCATTTTGCAGTTTTTATACAGCTAAATAGCACATAAATTACGTAATTCAGGTAGATATATCAATACTACGTTCAACATTTCGTTTAAAAGGCCAGATTTCCTGCAAATACGTTAGAATTTACAAAAGGAATTTTACTACTAATTGTCTACTTTGCGTACTTTTCTACTACCATTTTCGCACCAAGAGATTTCATTCTTCCCCTTTCTCCGTCCTTCGTAAATGCAACCTTTTGTAAGGGAGTGTCAAACCGCAGCTGTCAATAATTATCTAACCTTGTATTATTGAATCATGGGCCGATATGACTTTGGTTGGTTTGTTGTCGCTCCCACTTTAAGGTGTCCAGGTCTGAGGAAATGCTTGTAATTGTAGCGTAGGGTATATAAAAAGGACACAGTTGATGAGTCTCTTTTGCAGCTTCGCTATAAAGAGGTCATCTGCTCCACCTGCTCTAGAAGTGCGAAGGCAGATAGAGCGCACCTTAGCCTATAATCGTCTTACAGGCTTCTGACTTTGTATCCGCAGCGTCGTTTTATCCCCGTTTGCGTGGCGGTGGCTTGGGATGTGTTCACCAATCTGGTGTTGCTTCAAATTTAAGTTAAACAAGTCAAGAGTTTCACTTAACCCTCCGATGAGTGACAGTGCCGATGACGTTAGATTCGTGAGAAGGTCCTTAGGGACCTACAAAGAGTTGCTCGATGTTTCGACTGTACATGTGCAACTTCTTTGGTATTTATGTTGTCTTTTGATTAAATTAACGTCCTGCATATATATTAGGAATGAAATAATTTGAAGAACAAGTGAAAAAAAAATCAAAACATAAATACAAGTAACTTGTTATTTCTTCTAAAATTGTACAAGGTCCCTAGGGACCTTGTCACTAATCCCCGTACTATATATGTTGAAATCTCAATAACACTCGAACGTGATCCCGTATCCCTTCGAAACTTATTTTAAACGATTCAGCTTAATTTATTCTTGGAATACATGTATAAATTCTTTTCAAAAATGCATTGAACAAAAAGATATAGGCACATGAAATACGAATACGAATATCTGAAATATCAAAAAAAAATATAAATTTAAACAAGCCGCAATAATGCTATTTCACCTTTGAATGTATAAACAAATTTAAAACGGAACAAGTAAAGAAGTATAAGTTCGGGTCCCTAGGGACCTTCTCACAAATCGAAGGGTTAATAACATTTAATAACTTACCATCAAAATGCAAGAAAATTAAGAAATGCAGGGTAGTTAATTTTTTATTTTTTTTGTTTGCCACAATCCTTCAAACAATCACCGGAGCAACATGGCATCACTACTTGAGATTCACAGAGGTACGAACCGAAATAAAGCAACGGAAGGCGAAATAGTACGCATCGAACCTTTCATCGCACTCAAGCAATTGCAATTGTAAACAGAAACTCCAGATTTAGGGTGTTCTTTTTATTATTATTATTATTATTATTATTATTATTATTATTATTAGGCGATTTTGGCGTTCATTAAAGCTCACCAGTCATTTGTCTTGTGTGCCAATTGAGAACGCCAAGTAAAGCCAAGTCCTTCTTTACCAGGTCTGTCCATCTCGTCCTCTGCTACTACCACCGAATTCTGAGTTGAATACTTTCAGAGCTGGAGCGTTTTGGTCTATTTTTTAGGGTCAGTTAATAAAATACTTATGCCAACTAAGGGCTGTAAGTTAAGTGAATATATTAAGATTCGACAATTTATTTTTAGGCTCTAAAGTATGGCGCAGATTTAATAAATAAAAAATAAGTTAGAAAAAAAACTCCCCTTAAGGTTAAGTTCATCAAATCCAGCTGACTTGTGACTTTTTTTACTTTCAGATTATATGGTACTATGCCAAATCCGATTAAATCGGAACCAAGCACATATAAAAATCAACCTGGTCGCATTGAAGACTACGTAACAGGACGTTCGTCCGTGTCCGAAAAGGAACGCAAAGAGGTATAAAGCAAAATAAAACTAAAAGATGTAAAAAAGAAAAATAAAAAAATTTCCAAATATTTGAAATGCAACTGCAATACAGCCAGGTTATCACGAACGAATCGATGGCGATTACAATTTCAACTCGCAACATTTTGAAATCACAATATACATATGTACAATATGTACATGCATAAATACGTTCCTATGCATTTGTAAATTTTGTATTAGCATTCCACGCTGTTCTGTTCACTTTCACTTGACATTAGCACAACATGACATAAATAACTTTTAGAATTACGAGTATGAAATTTTAAGCACAAACTCTCTTCGACACTTGCATACATACATATACTATACTTACACATGTACAGTACACTTGTAAACTCATTAATATGTACATACATATTTCACTTGACATAAAAACGTAAAATTTATTTATAGTTAATATTTTATTCGATTTCGATTACGTTTACTGGTTAATTAAGTACTTATCACGTTTCCAGCTTATATTGTCAAGGTCTTTGCAGTTTACGTCATCGTGCTCTATACATAGTAAAAAAAAGTTACTATACATAATTATCTATATACTTATCTAAGTGAAAACTTTTTATTCTAATGCAGCTAAATTGTTGTTTTTTTATTTTGATTTATTTTGATTTATTTATTATTTGTTTGTTTTAACTCAATCTATTTTATTCCACGTTTTCTAGTGGTGGGACGAAGTGATGGACATCTTTAATGGGGTATGCATCACCTTTTGATTAAATTATACATACTTATGTACAAATACAAATTTAAATTTGATTAGTTGATAAATGAGATTTTGCCTGAGAATACATAACTATTTGGGTCTACTTGGTTTTGGGAATGATTTGCGTTATAGTAAATTCATTACTTTATTTATCTTTTTAAGGTGCTGACTATATTAAAAACCGTTAAATTTTTAAACAAAATGTTTGTAGCTAGCTGCTCTAGTTCTAAATGACTTATCGACTCAATTGAAAACTAATTTATCCAATATTCAGGTCCTCATTAATCCAACTGTTGACGATTATCCCGAACACTAAAGGGCTGTTCAGGATGTTGTGGAAATTGTCATGGATTTGCAGTTGGAGTTGCATTTGCAAATTTTATGCTAGCCAGCAAAGTATTAATTACTTTTCAAATGTTCATTTTCAACGAAATTTTTTTGGGGGTTGAATCTAATGATTATATAATGGAACTATTCTTTCCTTGTAGGCTATTATGTTAGGTTTCGAACGCATATTTTTTCATATTTTTATCTTATTCTTATCGAGAGATTTACGATTTTGTCCATCGAAACTCCCAATAATTAAAAAAAAAAAACAAATTCCTTAGTTAAAACCTATCTATTTTCATTATAAATTTTCTATGTAACTTTTTTCAAATCGATTCTTACGAATAAAATGTTTTTTTTTTTATTGAAAGCTATTTTTATTAAAGCGACCCTAAAATGGGTGTCCAACCATTAGTTCGGTTTATCGAGGTTTGACTGTACTAGAATTATAATTTTGGGTGACTGGTAATAAGATCAACGGAAACAAGGTCACTTGACTTTATTTCCCACCCTGGTGCAATTGACCTTATTCCCGTTTTGACCTTATTTCCGTTGATCTTGTTATCTGTCACCTAATTTTTGCTCCCATAAGCAAAGTTATTATAAATATGAGTGTATGCAATATTTTTACTCTTGATACTTTCGTCTTTTTCGCAATCGTACTGCCTCCTCTGCCCCTTTCGCTATCGTGTTATATCGTTAGTGGTTGAGCGAACAAACCATTGTACCGCGTATATTCATCGAATACGTTGATGATATAAGCGTAAGTTAATTAAACCATTTACATGCACTTGATTAAAAATATAGAGCACATGTTATTTACGCACACATGTGAAAGGAGCACTCTCATACATGAGTATGTATGTTTACACAAAAAAAAAAAATAACAAATATAAATAGCACTGCACCAAACCACTTGAATGGAATTCTATATATTTGCACTGTCCTTAAATGAAACGACTTTGTTATATATTGAAACACAATGCAACAATTAAAGAGATAATTTGGAGGAGAAAAATGTTAAGGTCCTCAAAAGAGTTGATAGCTGCGTTCTAAAAAAAGTAACGAAATGCTTCATCAGCAATACTTTACTGTCTTTATAGTTTTGAAAAATTCTCAGTTTTAAATTTTATTTTACTTTTGTTTGTTATTCAAGTTTGGTTAGTTATTTATTTGAATTAATTTACTTATTTTTTATTATTTAATTTTTTTATCTTTTATTTAAAACATATTTTTTGAAGTTTGGGAATATATTAAGTTTACGGAATGGAGAAAAGTAAAATAAATTTAATTTTAATTATTTTTTCGGCTGACAATTTTTCTGATTCATTCTCAATATCTTGGGGTGTCAACACTTTAAAGCATTTTCCCACTGCCAGTTCTCAACTGCCAAGCCTCAATTGCAGTTTATGCCTGTTGGAAAAGGAAGATTACAACTCGAAGGTGGTAATTTAGGTAAAAGCAAACGGATAGTATAAAAGCAAAAATTAAGAAAAAATCCATTCCGATCCCCCAAGGTTAAAATTCTTGGAACTTACCTGAGCTTTTAAATGTAATTAAGCTTTTGGTGGAAATGGGCTATTAAGCCGAGATTTGTTTTGCTCCATACCTTCCTTCTTTTCATCTGCCTTCGAATGGCAGGACAGCAATATAATATAAACCCAACATGTCGCAATTCGGTCTACACGTGCCCAGAAGAGCCCACCTAATAACCTTCGAATCCAGAGTCTTCGCCCAGTAGCACACCATATGTCGGCAATTGAGCCTTCAAACTCTCTCTTTATACGGCGATAACTTCTCAATAATCTCTTGCCTTGCTAACTCATCGGCCATGAAGTTTCTTACGATATCACTGTGGCTCGGAACCCGTACGACCTCGGAGTAAGCATTCTGTTGTGATCGATAGGGAATTCGAGTACCCTGTGAAAACGGCTCAAAGGCCTTAACTACCGCCTGTCAGAATATATATGCATACAAATGTTCACATCCTCGAGAAATATAATTTACATCTTCGCTTAAATACAGCACTTATTCGGAAGCCTTTCCACTGGATCTTAGTTCCAAACATTACACCTCGCCTAGTCCTTTTTGTGCAATTTCAGTTTCTCCGTAAATAAGTTTTCTGGATCTTGGTTTCGAAAATTAGATCCCGCCAGGTCCTTCCCTGCAGTAATATAGGCGGTGCAGTTTCTGACTTGATGACCTATGTTCAGTTAAGGACGGAATCAAAACAAATTCCAGAGAGTTTATAGTTAAACATAAACTTAAAATACGTGCTTCTTATTCTAACCTTTGCTGCCATAACAACGGTCTCATTCTTTTCGTTAAGCGTAACAGTTAGGGGGATTCGAAATGCCCCAATAATTGCAAACTACAAAAAGCCCAACTTTTTCTCAACCTGAGCTGAATAACCCTATTTCTATATTGCTGTAAGACCCATGCTAAACTTCCAAGCGTTACTGCGCTTTGGGGCAGTACAGTCTGCTGAATTCGGTCAACGGCCCTTCGTTCCATAAACGCGTCTGGTTTGTTAAAAAAAAAAAGTTCTGCTGACAAGTGATGAAGTTGGATTTTAAAAGTTTTGTATCTAGGCTTTACATCAAAATCAAATCAGTTAAGAGCGCAAATCAAAGCTCTGAAAATGACAGTAGTATGTAATTGGGAGAAATAGGAGAAGCTCGGCAAAACACTAACATATGTGTAAGCGCCAATCTATTATTATATGTAATTGGATATTTCTAGAATATAGCATAGTTAAAATCGGCAATGAAAGGCATAAGAATGTATACTTACCGATCTGGTGCTAGCTTCTTTCCATACTCGATATGGGACCCAGCCAGGGCGGCACCTAGCGGAAAATTTGCAATTGCTTCTTGTGTATACGAATGAACATTTCTGCACAAGTTCAGGGCTATTTCAGGACTATTGAGGCACTACTAAAGTTCACAGCTGGTTTAGGGTCCCGAACTGTTCAGGACTATATTAGGGCCATTTCGGGACCAATTTGGCACCAGCTCTGGCCCATTTCAAGACTATTTCGGAAACATTCTCCTACTGTCATCAAATTCCGTAAACTTAAAAAATGTATTATAAAAACTTATTTATTTAGTACAAAAAAACTGTACAGCAATTGATAAAACTGTATTGAATGCGTCTAATTTTTCACTAAAAAAAAATAAAATCTAACAAAAACATTTTTTCTCACTTTTTAACATAATTTGACTAATATGTAGCACCTGGATCAAGCCAAGCTCTCGCCACACTACACTGAAGGAAATCTTTCCAGGTAAAATTTTTAATTTCGTTCTTAGTAACTTCAATTTATTTTGAGTAATCATCATTTTCTACTTTCAGAGCCCTAGCCAAAGAGTCTGGTTACACGAGTGATTCGAATCTGGTATTCCGCAAGCGCGAAGCACCACAAGCCAGTCCACTTAGCCCAGTCGAGCAAAAGCAAGCCTATAAGAGCGTACAAGCGGGCGGCGAACCACCATTATTTGGTTTTAGAAAGCCAGCACCAGAAAGACCTAGAGGTAAGCACAGAAAAATAAAAAAAACAGAAAGCTTAAGCTTACAAATGCACAGAAGTACTTTATTGGCAAAAGCAAATTTTATGGATTTGAGGAAATTAACCTGTTTACTATGTAGTATTTTCGATGCTAATGCTGGTTTTGAAGAAGCTGGTTAGACAAAGAAAATTTTGAGTTGCACATACATACACACACCATAACACAAAGTACACGGTTACAAGTACAAACACACTTGAAACCTCTCGAAATATATTTGAAAAGTAGCTAGTTTAACATTTTTCCTTAATTGTTGGGTTCTTTTGGTGTGTGGGTAGTATTCTTTAACACTTGCCGTCGTTTATTCAAAAGTTGAAGAAATTCTAAAACTAAATACACAAAAAAATCCAAAAAATACACCATCAACCGTTTCCGCGCGCGTTGACAGTTTTTCGCACAGAACGAATTATTTTTCACCCTGGAACCGCACCGCACCGCCTGGATGGGCTCACAAATTGTTGCCACTCTAAGTCTACCAAAAAAAAAAATAATAAATTTTAATTTCCCGCTTTTTCGCACTTCGAATCACAAAGAATACCTCGATTACATACAGATCTCGCCAACGCTGACCAAAATTCGTGTGATCTCAGCGCCAGCCAACGGCGCCAACGATAGTTGCCACGACAAAGCCGAAGCTAAACAAGTTGCGCCGACACAACAGCAAACGTCACCGCGAGCGACTTACGTCAAAATCCACCACCAAGCGAAAATGTTCACACCATCATTCATACCGATTGACGGCAAACGGAACGCCACGAGCGCAGCGTCTTCGCCACCGCAGCCGCCAAATCGTAGATCATCTTGCCAGAAGGTGTCGTCGGCGAAGGCTTCGCCGGCACGCCCACCAAAACCAACTCCAGTCATACCAAAGCGCCACGAGCAATGCTTTCAAAGTCCCGATGAGCATGTGCTAGGCGCCAATAAGTATGCAACCATAACAATTAGAAAGCATACACGCGTCAATGGCACAATTTCACGTTCCAAATCTGCTGGCGCTGTTTCTTCACTGCTCGCAGCCAGCAAGTCCACGAGCGCTGAAGCGCCGCCACCAAGAGCGCTGAGCATTTGTCGTGGCGAGTCAAGCGAAGTAGAGGCGGGAAAGATTAGACGTTTGCAACAACATACCCGTTTCCGCTCGATTAGCCCCATGCGTGCACAAAGCCGTGTGGCAACGTTGCGTCAGTCGAGTCGTAGTCCCGTTGCGTTCGGGCGTTCAATCTCAAAAGAGCGCACATTTGCCGAGGAAAAGAAACGCTTGGAGAATAGTCTGCCGACGGGCTTTACCAATTTTGAAGCCAGTACTAATATATTACGCGATCCATCGCTCAAATCGCCGCAAGAAGTGAAGCAAGCTGTGCGCTCGTACGCCACTTGTGTAGCACATCTACGCAGCAAGTCACTGCCACGCCTCAGGGAGGAACTCAGGAAACCAGAGATTTCTTCTATGAGCACCACAGTTCGTCATGCATCGTGCTTTCCACAGGCTAAAATATTCGATTGCGCCAAAGCAATGCGCAAGACGTTTACACGCTCGAAGAGTCCGCGCCCGAAAAATGTATCGACAATCAGCCTAACACGCACCGATTCCACTTTCTCGATAGACTCCACGGCGCCCAAAAGTGCAACAACCAGTAAGACTAAAACGAACCCCAGCAAAAAGGTTGCAGAGACAAAGTCGAAGCCGAATGGTAAGGCTGTTAAGTCCAAAGTGGCAGTACAGCAGAGCAAAAAGCAATATGAAGCATCCACGAAAGCGAGCACAATGCCCAAAGCACATAAAACGCGCGGCGCTTTGAAAGCGCAGCAACCGCAGACCGCATACTATGCACGTGAAGAAGCGCATACAATTCCGCGCAGCGGCTACCAATCGATCGCGCTACATCAGTCACGCAGTCTCAGTCCGAAGCGTTACTACCACCTGGAAGAGTATAACGCCAGGCTTGACGATTATGACGAAGTCGATCGCAGCTATGTGGATGATTTGCTTTGGCAATACGAGGGACGCCACCCTAAAAACTACACAGCCAAAGTCGTACCGATTGAGGCCACCGCTAGAGATATTGCACGCCCGGAGTCGCCTACACCGAGTTTGAAAAATAGAAAGTTTTCTCCGACACGTGAAATACGCGTGCCACAGGAGCCGAGAAGTTTGCAAGTTGACTACAACAAAACACACGCTTCGAAAGCGGGAGCAGACGTAGTATCGCCGCCGATTTATGAGCAGTCCAGAAAATTTTCGCCCACACGTGAGGTGCGCGTTCCCAAACTCCCTCCCAGTCTGCAGCCTACGCTGCAGCGTTCCAAGTCGCCAAAAGTGGCACGCGATATCGCACGCCCTGAATCGCCAGCCGTTGTCGAGAACACGAGGAAATTCTCACCTACACGCGAGGTGCGTGTACCTCAACTGCCACCACATGTGCTCTCGCAATCTGCAACAGCTAAAATGAGCAGAGAAAGCGTACGTACGCCTTCTTCTTCCTCCGGCAAAGCTTCGTCCAGAAAGTTTTCGCCCACACGCGAAGTGCGCGTGCCACAGCAAGCCGCGCGCACTGTGCGCTCGCCTTCTAGGCGGCGCATAGACACCTATCGTGCCAGCGCTGCCAAAGCAGATACAATTGAAACCGGTAAGGTAATACGTGCTAGCAGCTTGAGTAGCGCCGATGATCGCTCCAGGCGTGGGCTTTACCTTTGTGGCGAACTTGCGCATAGCGCGACGTCGCTTGAGAATTACGAACGCCATAGTCCAACTTGTCGCTATCGCAATAACTCGGAACGCTTTACGGATTTGAATAGATTTTATAGCACGCTCGAACGCGTCGGTCAATTGGAGCGTGCCACATCGCTGACCTCGTTCAGGCCGATACGCAAGGATGGCGAGCCATTAGACTTTGATGAATGGCGTAAAATACGTTGTCATGAGCGCGCCGAAAAAGAGTTAAATTATTTAGTGGGTAAGCTAAAGCAGGATCAGCGGACAAAAGATTTCGTATTCCGCCCAAAAGATGTGGAAGATGTCAAGTGGTACAAGGAGACCGACTTTGGTCTGCACGCCAAGGACAAATCGGTAGAGGATTTGCGTTACGCCTTCGAACAGAAAAATATATTTGCGGACTATGAACAACAACTGCGACAAGAGTATGATGGCACGCGCGAATTCGTGCGCCCCTACTGGCGTCGAAACACTGTAGCAGATTTGGCTTCCAGCTTGGAAGGCAAATTCCAGCCAGAAAGTGTTGAATTAACGGCAGAGGAAGAGTTTGCAAAGTGTCAGTTGGGTAGTCGTCTTGTCAGCACGCTCTCTAAAGATCAAATATTGAAAATTACGCAGCAGTTAAATGAAATTTACTCTAATAATGCGCAGTCCACCGAAGATTATGTAATCACGGTCGATGCGGACACTAAGAAACGAGCGGCACCAAACGCGCTTAAAGTCAGGTGCAACTCAACATTGTCAAGAGATGATCTACTACAGCCGACCATAAGCAAAAAACAAGCTAAGGAAATGACAACGGCAAAAGCAAAAACTAAAGGTAAGGCCGAAGAGAACAAGGCTCCGCAAGACGGTAGGCCAAAAGGAACACGTAGCAGCTCGCCAGTATATCTGGCGCGCGAAACACGTGGTGCAGTGGCAGCAAAAAACGCTGAAGTCTCCTATCCCAAGCCACCGCCCATACCTAAACAGCCCGTGGACAAATATAATCTGACGCATGAAAGCAGCGCTAAATCAAAAGTTGTTGAACCCCGAGAAATAGCAGCAGCATCTACGGCTGCCGAAGAAGCGAGTCAGTTGCGCAACGAGCCCTACAACGGGGATAGTAAGACCAAGGAACCAAAGCAGACGCCGGAGCATTCCCCCACCGCCAAAGAACCGAAAGAGAAAATAACGCAGAAAATACAATACTTCGAAGAAAAGCAATACGACGAGCCACCCAAGACCATATACCACGCACGTGAAGACTCCTCGCCCGACGAAGCTGAAGTTATGCGCGTTATTGAGGAAAAAATAAAATCACGCACACGTAAAGCAACACCAACACGTCAGCACAAGGAGCTCAGCAATTCCTTGACCGATTTGAAAGATATTTTTGGCGAAAGACACACAGCGCGTGTAAATTTTCACATGCATTCACCGCCCGAGCGCCCACCCGACGTGGGTTGCGCATCACCAATGAGTCCAGCGCGTGATTGCATGGACGTAAAGGATGCCTGGTATGATTTTCGGGACCTAACACCAAATAGCAGCGTTGAAATGTTAGACGCACACTATCGTTCACGCAGCCTTTCGCCCGATTCGCAGGCCTCCTCCTCATACCTGTGCCGTGTGCAAACTGGCGATGTGCGAAAGATTACAGAACGTTTCGAGAGTTTCGGTGCACATGATGATAGTCGGTGTCATTTTTTTGGGGTTAGAATGCTGAGAAAGGTGCGCAGCGATCCTGAGTTGAAGCAATTTGAAACAGGATCAAAAGACGCCTTGAGAACGGAGTTGATGGCTGAGGAGCACGGCGATGTTTCCTCATTAGCGCACGAATTCGAACAGCGCAGTCAGAGCATGCGCATTGGTGCGGGCGCTGGACGCGGACGCACACGTCGGCGTGTTATCTCACCAATCGGTGTTAAAGATCGCCTAATGCCGCACATCGATATAATAAGTAAAACTGCAGCACTTAAGGAGACTAAGCAGAGTGCACGGCAAACAGTAAAAGCTGAGCCCGAACGCAGGTTTGTTGTTGAACGCATACGCAGCCAATACGAGCGTAGTCTTTCGCCGCCGATCGGATCGCGCGCCAATTCAAGCCCAGATATACCACAAGCCGGTGCAATTTCACCACATCTCTCCGCAGACTGGATTGCACACAAATATCCCAGTCCAACACAGAATGCTTACAGAGGAAATGGTATAGGACGAGCTGATACTGAGCGTAAAGAGCGCACCTCGACGCGTATTGCAAAAATTCTACGCAAATTGCCGCAACGTTCCAGTTCTGCCTCACCGCCGAGGCCACCTAAGACGCTACAACATGCTCGTAGCGCTACATTGAGGAAAACCGAGCGTGGTGACATCTTTGCAAACCAACAATTCGATCCGAAAAAGCATCAACCGAAGGCGCGCTATGTGCCAGACGGCGCGGAAGCAAGCGAACGCAAGCGAGCCTCGTCACATCCACGCTGCGGTGGCAGTTGTGAGATCCTTAAGTCTGCAATGGCCGTGTCATTTCAAGGTTTTTAAACTTACTTTTACAATCTATGCGCACTTATTTTTTTACCTACAACGACACCCATTACTTTTTATGAAATCTGAAGAAGTTTATCTCTAAAACTCTGCATTTAAGAGAAGAAAGAGTTCGGAGCACATCGAAACGGAAATTGAAAAAATGTGTTTGCTCGTGTCTAACAAGTACTATAAATATGGTTTTGGGTAGTGGTCGAATACACTATTCGGTCGAAGTCTGGGTTTATAGTGTTTCACGCCCTTCATATGTCCTTCTCGGCGCTTGAACGTTCGCTTACAAAAGGCCAGGGTGAACAGAGCTATCTATAAAAAGAGCATGCCTATAATAAGTAATATCGTTTTTAACCCCATTTTTACTTAATTTTTATGTAGAACCTTAGCCATTTTCATCCATCGATCCATCTCGGTAGTCAGCCAATATATCTAACTGCTCATCAACTACTCCACATGCAGCTATTTAAAAATTGTGTTTCCTTTCGCTTTGGTGTATGAAAGACATCATTTCCTTCTGGTTAACTAATTCGTGTTGGGTTTTTACCGTTTTGTGCTTTCGCTTCGTTAGTTTACAAATTTACACGCTTCTCTCTAATTAAATTTCTTTAAATGTCCTTTTTCATGTCCGTCTTCTACATACTTTGTAAATCCGTTATCACAGATGACGGTAATGAGCCACCAGTGCCACCAAAACCGAGAGATTATCGCGCAGGTGAGTTAGAGATTTGATAATTATTCAACATAATCTGGCTGATGAGCTTAGCTCAAATCAAAATTTTTGGCGTCCAATTATAAAGCGTCATGGATAAAGTCTGCAAGCTAAAAAGCTTTTAAGCTTCCTAAAAATATCGGATTAAGTAGGGGAGCTAAACATAATGCGGGACTCAAGGGTTTTTTTCTGCAAAAAAAAAACAATGTCAAAAACTTTAGCGCTCGTATCTAATGGACAAATAGCACAATTTAATTTAACTTACTTTATAAAAAATTCATTTAGGATGATCATTTTTTGCTTACGAAACAATAGCTTCACAAGCGAGGCTTAGTAGTAAAGGGTGGAAAAATGGTTTAGAGTTCGAGGGTTAATATACTCAAAGGCATTTTTTGCAAGGCTCAACCCCGGGTAGTATGTTAAGTTTCCCATGCATATAAAACTGAACCGCATTGTTTATAATTGTCAAATTGAGCGTTGTTTATAATTTTCTTAATCAACTTAAAACCTCAACTCTGGATTTGTCCTTACTTTTCTTTTTCATTTGATCCTTCGGGCTAATGTAATAAATGATAATCTTTACTTTGTAAGGACAACGTATGGTCGGTTGTTTAACTCTCTGAGCACGATATGGACTACTACTTAAAAAAGTAAACCTTCGTTTAATATTTTATGTAACAGACACAGACAGTCCTATGGTTAAATTAAAACTTTAACACAATTTATTTTTATTTTTTTAATTTTATATCCGCCGTTTTGTCTGCCCTAATCTCTAAAACATCCCAATCGACTTTGCCAGAACATTTTTCAAGAAATTTTAAGACAGCTGGAGCCATTTATTTACTTTTTATCGACGGCTGAGTGGAAGGTCATCACCAGCTCGGCAGCCGATTCCAGAATGCCTTATCTCAGCAAATGCTCCTAAAACATCCTCCCTCAGCTACCGATATATTGAATTTATATTGAGATAGAGCATTTTTGAACCAAATTCTTCAACCATTTGCTGAAATGGAACGTTTTTTAACCGGCAGCCGAGATAGGGCGATCTTCCTCTCTGGCGACGATATGCAGTACGCATTCAAGGCATATTGTATTTACGTGTATTTTGTGGAAAAATAGTTTTAATAACCATGTGCCTCCTGTATGGTGGCGAGGCATAAATACTAAGAGAAAACATTCCCGCAGGAATTTTTATTGAGTAATGTAAGCTAAAGCTACCCTTTCGCATACCAGACCATGCAAGCGTTTACCAGACAGTAATGTAACTCCATTTGCCCATCCTGCCATGAAGAGGATGAGGCGGTGGAACACTTTTTGGGCTTCTGCACCGCCTTTGGAAGAATTAGATATAAGACCTATGGCCGCGATGTGTTGGGAGACGAACACCTGAGCTCTTTGACATCCAACAATCTGTTTAGGTTTATTCGTAAATCATACAGATTAAAAGCAATATGAAAACAGTACAATGGACGGCATGTAGCCTCAGTGTTGTTTTCTGCCTGGTTCCGACAAAAAAAAAGCCCCTAACATGAATCGCGGCACATAGGAACATTTGCGGAAAAGACACAGCGGATGAACCAGCCAGGTGCGGCTTGAAGGGCTGAATTGTCAAAATTTATCATTCACAGCCTAGACATGCGGCAGTTCTGGTCATCCTACGACCCACCTAAAACCAGGGCACTTTTCAGATGAGCTAAGAAAATACCTGCCTACCCTTCAATAAGTTCTATTTCTCTGTATGACGTACAGAAATTCAGAGTTATGGAATAAAAATGGCAAAATGTTCTAATTGCTTGTCACCAGGGTGGAAATCCATTTAAACCACCCAATTCATCTGCATCTGTTTATACTTCTGTGTAAGTGCTACAAACTGGCAAATTTAATATAAATACATAGAGCTGTCATAGCAGGTGTCAATTTTCCCCGTCCTGCACTCCCTCTATGTTATAACATTGAACAGTCACAATTGGAAATAGACGAAAAAACAAAAACAAAGTAATCAGGTCAATTGCACGGTGCGACACTCCAAAATACCTGGGAAGTGAAGATATTTTTCTTTTAGGTCGCATCGAGTAAAACAAAAATCGAAATATGAACTCCGTCAAACACTCCCAAAAATCTTGACACACAAATAAATTTCGTAACACACGAAGCAATAATTATACTCACGAAACTATTGACCAAATATAGCGAAATAGCGGTTTTAGTTTTTCTCAATGACGTCAGGTTTTTTTAAGGACTATGGAGTTTCATAGATGTAGTCTAAGAGCCAGTGACATTTTTTTGTCGTTATTTAGTTATGCAGTTAAGCCTTTGGTGGAAATAGGCTATTAGTTAAGTCTGAAATTTTCATGTTATTATGGCAAGGTTTTCAAGTCTAAAATTCAATTAGCAGATCGAAATTCCAGTTTTTACTACCTGGCAGAACGATGTAAATGTCCTTTGCGCACGCATTGATTTCGTGTAGTTTGCGGCTAAATTTATTTGATTATGAATTTTTCGAATACAAGTTTTGAATAACTTTGATGTATTATTTAGAATCTTATTAATTAAAACGCTCGTTTAATGATTTGGTTTTAAAACTGCATACCCAAATTAAAAAAGTATTTAATAAAAAATTTCCAGTTTTGATGAAACTTTGTTATTTTTTTATTTAATAGTCAAAAAAGAACAGAAAGATAATTATGCAAATTAAGTCAAGGAAAGACATAAGACACGAACTTGTCTTGCACAAAAAATGAAAATTTGTTCCATAAATGGGAAGTCCACCCTAATGTTAAAAATCTGTAAGTTGAAATGACCCAGACTTCCGCTGACTCCTCTGATAATTAAAATCGTGGTTCTCACTGAAACAATTTTTCATCCAAACACGCAGACTCCCCTCTCATTTTTAACGTTAAGTTCTCAAAGCTTTTGTTATCGTTTGGTTCTCTAGCAGAATGTTCCCCAGACTTTTTTTCTATTTTGGTCCTCCTTGAAAACGTTCTCGTTAATTTCGTTCTCATTTTGTTCTCATTGAAAACGTTCGCGAGAGTTTTGTTCGCATTTTGTTCTCATTGAAAACGTTCGCGAGAGTTTTGTTCGCATTTTGCTCTCATTGGAAACGTTCCCAAGCCTTTTGTTTTCATTTTGTTCCCGTTCAATCTGATCTCAATACTTTTGTTTCCGTTAAGTTCTTTTGTGGCAACGCTCTTGGCATTACATTTTGTTCTTATTCGGAACTAAACCAAAACACGAACGCGTTCTCGGTGCCTGATTTTTCTTATCTCCTTTTTCTTTGCCTGAAGTCTTATTGTTGTTTTTCGAACATTAATATTGAGGTGGGCATTCCTTTTTGCCTTACCGCTTATGATTATTCTAAGACACCCAAGGCGCAAATAAACAGGCGAAGTAATAAAACAGCTTTTTCGCTTTATTTTCCGTCATTCAGCTATCTTATATGAAATTTTAAAGGCAAATTTTCAAATAAGATAGTGTCAAATCAATAAAAAAAAATGTTTCTTCTAGCTCTCATTACTTCACCTGTAATAATTTCCCCATGTACTACACCCACATATTGAAAAGCTTTGACAATGTATTTTTTTATTGCATATTTAATATTAGTTCTTTTTTATAAAAGCTATGGTTTTTTATATCAAAAACTATATAAATCAAACTTGCAAACTTCGAACAAAAATTCAAAAAAAAAATCAGGAACGTTTCCTCAAAAAGTTATACTATTTATTCGGAATTTTTAGACAATTTTCATTTATAGCCCATTCAATTCTAATAGAATAAAGTGGAAATTTGAAGTTTTTTTATTGACAGTGGTGTGCATTTTTCTCTATAAAAAAAAAAAATTTAACATAATTCCGATGGATGAAAATGTGTGATACCGCCTAAATAAAAATTGCCAGCAATCAACGGTATTTTAATTAACAAGTGACGCTCTTAATTTTGTGCAAAAAATCCCATTGAAAGAGACTTCTATGTCTTTTTTTCAAAACGTTCCTCGAAGCCACCTTTTTGATTTTTTCTCTTCGTAGAATACATTTAAAGAGCGACCGAAAATATTAGGATGCATTAGCGCACACAAGGGGTGGGTTTTGGGGTTCAAACCCCCCCTAAAGCTCAAATGCAAACTGTATCTTAAAGCTAAGAATCCAGCTCTCAAGGAAATTATAAGAAATATTTATTATAATTTCTGTTGCTTGAAAAAGCGCTTTGCTTTTGCTGTAAATTTTCATGAGGAAATGAATATACGAGCATTTTTTTCTTGAGAGCTGCAAACTGATTTAAGAAATTTTGGTAGAAGAAAATTTCTTTTCCATTTCTCGTCCGTCATTTTATATGAAATTTTCGTTTTTCTTGAGAGTTCAGTTAATTTTTTCGGTATTCGAAATAATAAAAAAATTTTGAAATCGTGAAAAATCACCATCTCTATCGAAAGCCAGAAACCAGAAATCGAAAAAAGGAACATAAAAGTGCAAAAATTCATGGAATCAGTAAATTTATTTTTAATGGGTCTTTTTTAATATTTTTTATTAGGTACTTTTGAAAGTTGAGCGCATCTTGAGTTTATTGAACTTTTTATTAAACAAGTAGTTTTTAAGGAAAGAACACAACCGACTTCAATTCTTATGTTCAAATTTAGGGGTACCGTTAATTTCTTCATTATCCAATCATCGGATCTCTAAACCAAATCACAGGACGAACCTTGAGGTACCATCTTTCCAATAAAACACAGGATTATTGAAATCGGTTCACGTGGTCCAAAGTTATGTATTCCGGCGAATTGATATCCTCCCCTTTTTTTGAAGTCGGTTAAAAGTGTTTGAGTTCTGTTAATCTTATGTAAATAAAGTGCAGTTTATGAATTTTAAAACGTTTATTTATTTATTACATACTGTACATAAAACTTGCATAAATATATTTTAAAGAGCGTATTATCTAAAGAAAATTTTCATTATTTTCCGGTGATATATCTTCAGAAATATAAAACCCCCCCTAAAATATATTCCTGGGTGCGCCCCTGTTAGGATGTATTAAAAATATTATAAAGTCAAATCCTAAACAATTTCTTAGAAGAAAAGTATTCATGTCCTTTTCATCGTCATGATGTTCTCTGCATGCATCAATGATACTTTTTATTTCTCTAACTTCAAAAAAAGTACTATATTAACTATTAAATACTGGCTGAAATTTTTTCAGTCACATAATAACAGTTAAATCAAACCAAATACTTTTTTTTATGTCAGTTGAGCATTTGTTCAAAGTATTATTTAACTATATACATATAGTTTGTCTGTGTCAGTTTTCGATTTAAATAAGAAGCACCCAATCTTTAAAAAAAAAACTAGTAATATATTTTTGGTGCCAAATTTATTTATATAGGTTCAATCAAGCCTTTTATTTTTTACAAGAAAAAAAACATACTTGGCTCGGTTTAACTGTTATTATCTGGGTAAAAAAATAAAAGTCATCTGTTTACTGTAATTTTGTAACCAAAAATTTTACAGTCGAAAAAAAAACTTTATTTTTGAGACTTTTATTTATAGATGTCTTAGCTGGTTGGTTCCCTTGCAAAAAGTTCCTATTTCCATGACAACTGTTCCATATTTTAGGAATTCGATTTCAAACCACAGACAATAGACATAAAATTCTGGTAGTAAAAAAGATAAGCCCAAGAAGCATTACTGCAAACCATTGTCGCCTATTAATTTACCTTTCTTTTTGTATCTACGTCATTGTGCGCCAATAGCGTATAACAACAAATCAATTCATTTAAGTAAAGTAAACAAATACTTTCCCTATGTAGTCATGTAGTCGAACCCACGCGTCTTACAGACAACAACACGCTATCTTTATAGGCCGTTGACACACCCTATGGATTTTCGTAACCTTTAAGAAAGACACTTTCGTCATCAAGATTATAAGAAGCAAAAGAAAATGCGAACCAAAAGTAATAATAAATAGCAAAAACAAACAAATATAAAAATGTACATATTTCCTTTTGACCGCAAAAAAAAAAAAGATAATTCGCACTCGCGAAGGCGAAGGCAAATGCGAAGCTCTACAAGAAATAACCAAACAAATCGAAGACGCTTAGCGCTAAAAGCCGTTTCCGCCGGTCTGCTAGCCACTTCATAACCAAAAGCAGCGCACAACTCGTGCTTGCGTCTACCCACACACGCGAAGGACAGTCTTCAGAGCCGGCGCGTGGCCGAGAAGGTTAGCGAATCGCTAGGTGCAGTCAGTCGTCGTTCTAGTCTTAATTTCCTCCATTTCGTTTATTTTTCCTCCACGTTTTTTGCGCATCGCTACACCTGTCCGCTACTTAGGCGCTGCAGCCACAGCTCAAGACGCAAAATCAATAATACCAATAGCAGCAGCGCAGCGCAGCGCAGCACTTTGTGACCTCCTTAGCATGGCCAGTGCGCGTCGCAGTACGCAGTCTGTTAGTTAGCCAAGTTAGCAATAGTTGGTATGAAGTTGAAGAAAACCTCGTAAACGTCAAAGCCGTTGTGGTGGCGTTTGGTAATTACGGGTGATGGTGGAAGTGGTGACGGCGGTGCTGGTGGTGGTGGTGATTTTCGATGGGTTGCATTTTTACAAACGTCAGAAGCGTTGCCATGGCCAGCGCACCATTGTGTAGACAAACAAGCTAACAACAGCCACAACAACAAACATAAACAGAGCATTCATGCAGTGCTGGAAGTTAGTATCGTGCGCCCTTCCGCAAGGCAAGGCAAGCAATCAAGCAAACAGCAGCAGACTAGCAGGCTTTCTGGCTAGCTGCCGCATTGGACACTCTCGGTTAAGTCGCAATTAGACAGCCTGCCTAGTCGGACAGTTAGCGTTCAACTACGGTGACTGGATTTTTCCACAAATCCATTACAAAATTACACGCGCATTCCGCATACACCACTGTGGCTAATCGGTCAAA